AAATTTGGTTCCCATGCAGCTTGTCCTCACCATCAGACTGGGAAGCCAGACTTAAAGCAAATGACTCAGCTACAGGCGAGGAAATGCAACAACAGAGGCAGGGACAAAGGGCTTATGTGAGGGCTGAATAAAAGCTAATACTGGGCTTCCCTGGTGGTGCAGTGGTTGAGAGTCCGCCTGCCGATGCAGGGGACACGGGTTCGTGCCCCAGTCTGGGAGGATCCCACGTGCTGCGGAGCGGCTGGACCCGTGAAGCCATGGCCACTGAGCCTGCGCGTCCGGAGCCTGTGCTCCGCAACGGGAGAGGCCACAACAGTGAGAGGCCCGCGTACCGAAAAAAAAAAAAAACCAGCAACTAAAAAAGCTAATACTTATTGAGTCCTCTCTGAGCACGAGGCCTAAGGCCCGAGACCTTTGATGAGGTCCCAAATATTGGAACGTGCAGCACGGGTATAGGAGGTGCTTTTGGGGTCCACGTTTGCTGTGTTGGCCTCCCCAGCTGAATATTGACTGGCGTCCACGCCTGAAGCACTAGTCTCTGAGGGGTGATCATTGCTGGGGAGAAGATGACACCCCTCATCTGCTTCTGCCCCTTCCAACATGTTCTAGAGCTTCCAGCTCAAGCAGCCAAGGCTTGTTCTCCAGCCCCTTCCACCCACAGCTTCCACCTCTTGCCTCACCCATCAGCAGGGGTCTTTCACTGCCCCACCCTCAGTTCTCACACCATCACCTTAACACTGCCCTTGCCCATTGTCTCCTCCAGCCTCTCTAGGGGAGCCCCAAGCCTGCTCCCCAGGCTGCACTTGCCTCCCATTTCCCAGGGCTCCCTCTGCAGTCCCCTCATTTCTCCTCTAGCCTTCGCCCCAGATCCCCTCTGTCACTCTTAGATCTGCCAACTACCAGTTTCCATCACTGCCCACTCCTATCCCTAGCCCAGCTTCTTCCTCCCAGAGGAAGCCCCTTTCTTTCTGCCAGATTCTCCCGGTGGGGCTGGCAGCCCCTCCCCTATCCCCATTACCTTCCTGCTAGCTACTGTTCCCAGGGGCCAGGAAACTCAATGCTAGATGTCCCTCTTTCTGCCCTTGAACTCTGGGAGCCACAGGCCTTCCCAACATGGACATGTGTTTTTTAAATTTATTTTTGATTTTTCAAATCTACTTGCTTCTTTAAACAAAAATTTATATTGAAAAAGTGACTGATTTTTTTAAAATGCTGAGTAAGTAACAGGACAGGTGGTGGGTGAAGTTAGCAACAAAGATGGAAGATCAGGAAGCACTGTATTTCCCCATTCAACCTTACCACGGCCCAGTGAATTTCAAGTATGGACTGCTATCACCGCCACTTTGCAAAGGGATCCCCATCTGGGTTTTGTGATGAATTCCTTCATGTCACGTGACATAGTTTAAGGAATTGGCTTTATTGGGGAAAGGACAAACTTACAAGGCTGGGCTTGTCCCCTGAACCCCATCATCCCACTGAGTTTGGGTGCAGCCTTTCCCCCAGGAGGGTGGGGTGAAGAATCCCATTGGAGCTGGCTTGTTGCAATGGCAACAAAGAATGAGATCCTGGCATCGCCTTGGGCAATTGTGCTCATCCAACCATGATCCCCATTTTATAGATGTAGAAACGGACCAGAGCAATTTAACAATTTGTCCAAGTCACAGACCAATTCCAGGGCCTAAATTCAAAACCAGTCTGCTATTTTATAGACAAAGAAAAAAGACTTTATGAAGTAACAAGGAGGGGAAGACCTCTGCTCTCTGTTCTGGGGGCTTCACCTTGTATCTCTGAGAAGTGAGGTGATATTCTGTGAGGACCCAGCCAACCCCCTGGTGTTTTGACCCGTTCCCCCTTCACCGCACTCCCTTCTGCTCCCCACCCGAGCCGTGTTGGCACGTTGGGAGCTGTAAGGGCTGCTGCAACCCATCTCCTTTGCTGATTGTAAAGAAGGCTTAGCAAGAAACTTCCTACGCTTAACCCTCTATGCCAGAGAATTAGTACCCAAATTAAAATGACTTCAACAGTTTACATTTTAAAGTACCTTATAATCACTGGCAATGGTTCATGGGAGAGCTATCTATAGAAATTTTTGAGATCTTGTACATAAACCTCAAGAGGAAAATAGGAGCTGTTTCTTTAATTCTTTTTACACAATTTTTAAGAAATGCTTTCATATTCCATTCAACTCTTTCTTCCCTTTTTCCTTTCTCTCTCACTGGTTCTGAAAAATAAGTGTAGACATAGAAATGCAGGCTATAGAAAGCCGACTTTTTCTATATCTAATAAAAACCTTGGGGAGTAATTGAAATAATTTGGCACTGGCAGTCAGGTTACATGCTGCATAATAATCAAAGGAAAAATCCATAGTGAGGAAAGCAGCAGAAAACAGGAAGATGTGCTGGAGAATAAAGCCAGGACATTAAATAATGAGTAACTATGAGAAACTTAAAAAAAATTTTTTTTATAATTACATCCTTAGAAAAATAGTCAAGAAGCATCTTCAAAGAAGTTATACTAGACAAAGTGTACACTCTCTGTATTTCTAAGGATTTTGAATTTAAAGAAAAGAACAGAAATACTCCTCACCCCCAACACCACCCCAGCATCTATTCATTAGATAAAAGTCTGACAGAAGCCATGGATTTCAATCAAATTTTGACATACATGTTTTTTCGTGATTAGGCTATCCTCCCATCTCCTTTCTCCTTTTTTATCTCCACGATCTGAATTTTAAAGAAATGCTGTCAAGACAGTGTACCGCAAAAGGAGAGATGTCTACTATAAATTGTACTGAGTACTTTTCAGAGAATTTTACTTTGGTCTTTTAGATTTTACAGAAGATGGCTGCATTCATTGTGGGAGAAAAGTGACATTGAGATGACACGTCTGGGTCTTGTGAGAGAGAAATGCTGGTGTCGCAGACACACGGGGAGAACGCAGCTTCCAGCCTGCATTTCTAGCCGAATCCTATTCCTTATTCTGCACCCTAACATGGACTCTTGGCTGCGGACCTTGGGCAAGGTCTTTACTGTTCCTTCAGTTTTCATCTAGATTTTTTTTGGTTGTTATTTCTATATAAAACCAAAATCTGTGGGAAACAGAAATATTAAAAAAATGAAAGCTATCACCCATAATTTATCAAACATAATGATTTTGGTGTATTTTCTACCAATTTTCTTATGTACAGCTAGTTTTTTCTTTTCAAAATACAGTAGAAATTAAATTATACTATCCAATTTTATATGCTAATTTTTCTTTTGGCGGTGTTTTGTCTTTCTAAATAAAAAGATATGGACTTTTAGTCCTCATTTTCTAGAGCTGCATAATATTCCACATGGTGTTTTTGTGTTCTTTGTTTTTACAGTCTACACCGACAGAGAGCTTTTGCCAGCACTGGGACTGTTTGAATATCTCATTAAAGGAGAAGAGAGAGAGCAACAAGGGGTCAGTATTCACTTTGTGTCTATGATGATTCTTAGCCAGGTTGCATGACAACTTTCCAATAGACTGTTGGTCACGTTCATACGCAAAGAGACAAGGTTGATTTCTTTCTGTGGGTCAGTCTCGGATCATAGACCAGTGACTGTATTATCGTTGTTGGTGTCTGAGTGGAGTGAGATAAGCTGGGTACAAATTCCAGCTCTGCAACTTTCTATTCTGTGATCTGGACAGGACTCTTTGTTCTCTCTATGCCTCTGTTTTCCCAGATGTAACAGTGTAGATATCATTACAAATTCCCAATTCTGAGAAACGTATTTTAATACATTTGATACCGGGTTGAGCGCTGCAATCAATGTATACATTGCCATTTTTCTTTCCTTTTTCCACCGTTAACACTCTCCAGAGCTAATACAATCAATGATATCTTAGAATTGAAGTAATATATAATAAATACTTGCTTTATAGTTTGTTGAAAGGATTAGGTGAAATATTATACATAAATTGTTCTTAGCGTTTGGCAAGAGATCAACAATCAGCTATTATTTTATTAGTAAGAAAAAATCTATGTTGTCCTTAGAATAGAACATTTGTTCTGCGTAGAATATATATGATAAACAATACATTATTTGTAGGTCATATATTTAGATAAAACTTGTGCTGCTTGGAAAATTCCTTAATACTCTGTTGATTAGAGATGGCATGGGGGTGGCAGATAGGTTTAACTTTATGTGCCAAGTCTAATCTGTTGATGACGATTGTCAGGTGGGCTGTGTTGTGAGAATCGCTGAAGCAGAATAGCAGACAAGAGTGCTAAGGTGGGTTAGTTTAATATCTTCCCCAGACTTTGGAAGATGGAGTGGCAACACACAGACTAAGTGTTTGCCATCTCTGCATTATGTGTCACAAAACATTACTTGGCAGCTCATTAGGTACTAGCCACGCCATGGTTAATCAATCAGGAGTTACATCAAAATCTTGTGGACTGAATCTGGGTCCAAGGTGGGAGGTGAGAACCACACAGGTAAGAAACAAGCCCAGAAGACACAGATGTCTGGGAAACATGGGAAGCTGATGGAGACAATACCCTGAAAACACGTTCCTTTTTAAAATGGCTTTGGGGGGTTTCAGCCACAAACTTTTAGCTATTTTTCATAAAACTCCAACCCCAGTAGAAATGTGGGAGACTTTGCACCATAAGGGAGCGCAGAGTCTTTGCAATGACCTTGATTTTGCTCAGCCCTTGTTCTGCAAATGCTCACTTAGGTCTTGCTTCCTGAGCCTTGATGCCCTGCACCTTGGCCTTTCTAGAGCTTTGCTCTTGGATGACTGAGGTGCCCCGGTGGTCTCTACCTTAACGGCATCTTGTCTTGTTCTCTTTTGCTATGGGTAAAAGGCCTTAAAAGGGCCCCTCTCTCAGAAAAGGAAATGGTATTGAAAAGGGGGACTGTTCATTTTATTCTATGTTCATTATTATCTAATCCCCTGCTTTTGTGGTACTTATGAAATAAAACCAATCATTAAAGGCACATTGGTGAAAGTTTCAATGGAGCACTACATACCATTTCTTGAAATGTTCTGGTAGTCCCTGTGATTGCAGTGGTTTCTTTTCCGTAAACGAAGGTAAATAGAGTTTTCTTTAACTCTGAAAGAAATATATATGTGTATATTTAATGACAGGACATTCACATGATGGAGTTAAAAGAAACATGGTTTTATTATGATTTTTTAAATGCGAAAATGAACTCAGAAAATCAAATCTCTGCAGGCACATTTTCTCTAAACTGTCAATACATTATTAGGAGTTGTTATAAGAAACAGTTCTACAAAATGGGTTGCACTGATGTGATAAGATCAAACTTCTTCTTCTTTTTATGAAGACTTCCAGTCATCCCTTTCTAACCTTTTAGCCAAGAGCTGCTGTAAGTCTCTTGAGCAACTGGTCATTTTTACCAACTCGGTTATTTTGAATCTGATCATGTTCCCTTTCTTCTTTTGGTTGCTGTGAAGCTGTGGCAGACACTCCTGTTGTCTTTCAGATCCATTTCTCCCCCTTCATCCATTTTAATAGAAGTTTCAGTAGGACATGTGTCTGCCCCGAATGATGACTGCTTTACTCAGCTTCCCTTGCAGCTAGGAGTGGCCACTTCACTAAATTCTGGACAATAAGATGGAAGGAGAAGTATCCAGTCACAGTTTCTGGGAATGTTTCTCAGGAAACAATTGGCAGGTGACCCTTGCTTAGTCCTTTTTCTCCATTCTGCTGCCCACAATAGGAATGCTGTCATCTTGGACTATGGGGATAAGTTCTACACTGAGAAAACAGAGGCGTGAGCTGGAAGGGCCCTGAGGACCAGTGGAGCTGACCTCCCATATCAGACCTGTACTGCATATATGAGAGAAATAAACTCATCTGTCATCTTATTTAAACCACCCATACGTTGAGTTTCTCCGTTACTTATAGCTGAATCTAATACTAATGGACACAGATTTTAGAGACAAATTTTCAACCAGCATCAGGCTGTAACTGCACATATTTTAAGTCACTTTATTGGTTTCTCTTTGTCCCATCTTTGATTTTCTATCTTCTTTTGCCAAACTTTAATTTAATTTAAATGGAATTTAATGTTATGTTCTCTATACTTTTATAGGCTTCCTAAAATCCATTTTGAAACAAGACCAGGTACAAACTAATGAATAATAATTAAACTCAGATATATTTGATTATTCCTCAAATGTATTTTTTCTTCTCTTCATTATAATAAACTTCATATCTCACAACCTCACATAAATCATCACTTATTTTTAAGTGTTATGTAAGTCTCACTCATTGTATTATAGTGCTTTCCTACTGTCTCAGTGCTTCAGGTTTGGGCACTTAGAATGCACTGTAAGTATTGTTCTTTCTGAGGAAACTAATAATAATAGAAAAAAAACTTGTGGTTATCAAAGGGGAAAGGGGGAGGGAGGGATAAATTAGGAGTTTGGGATTAACATGTACACACTACTATATATAAAATAGATAACCAACAAGGATCTACTGTATAGCACATTCTTTTCTCTTATAAGTTATTTCGTAATAACTTATAAGGGAAAAGAATGTAATAAAGAAACTAATACAACACTGTAATCAACTATACTTCAATTAACCCCCCCCCCAAAAAAAGAAACTACTAGTAACATTTCTTAATAGAAGACCAAGATCTCTGAACAATATTTTAATTATGGAATTTTTGCTTTGTGGTAGAGTTTTGAGGTGAGTGATTTATTTTACTTTTTAAAATCAAAGCTACCCATGTGCATAGTTTTAAAAATCAAATTCATTTTACTTGAATAATGTTTAAGGGGCCTTACTATGTTCCAGGCACTATTCGAGGCACCTGGGTCCTACTGGTAAATGAAAAAGACGAAGATCCCTGCCCCTGTGTCATTGACATTCTGGCAGGGAAGAAAACCCACTAAACATCACGAATAGGCAAATTATGGAGCATGCTAGAAGACAGTAAATGCTATGGAAAAAAGGGAGGCAGGGGAGCTAGGATTCCAGTGGTCAGAACAAGGCTTATTGAAAAGGTGGATGTGAGCAAAGACTTGAAGTGGTGAGCCTTACAGAACAAAATAGTTGAACTATTTTCGTCTATAAGGCTTGTAGTGGTAAACAGCAAGCTCACACTCCCCATTCCTCCCCATTTCTCCATTCCCAGAGGCAATTAATTTCAACCTTATTTGACTGAGTCTTTTCGTATTTTCTTTCTTATCTCTAAATAACATACTTTCAAGGCTACTTCTTGATTTTTAGTCTTTGGCATTATCTATTCACTTCTCACTACCAAGAGGAGGATTTAGCTATTCACAGCAGATCTATGATTGCTTTTTCTTCTCTTCACAACACTTTCAATTCCCTGGAGTTAATAGCTGCCTTTGTTTCTTTGTTTAATTTTCTTAACTGTTTATCATCAATTCACCCTTAAATCTTTTTACAGTTGTTTGATCTCTTTTCAATATGCTCTGATGTATCAGATAGTTTTTAAATTTCATCTCCTTGTGGAAATCTCTCCTGGGTCCTCTCGCCCTGCTTAATCAGGACTTGTTGCCCTCTCACTCTGCTGCAGAGCAGATATCCTGGGAGCCTCCTTCTTCATACCCTGGGGATCCTTTTCACCTCTTCCTGACTTGTTAGATATCCTATTTCCTGGAAGACCACATTTTTCTTATTTTTGATGGAGAGTGCTTTTACGTAACGTTTGAAGGATGTGTGTAAAGTAACATTACTTTTTTTAGCATCTGAAAATGTTTTTATTTTTGACTTAGTGAGGTGTAGGGTGGTGAGGTATTGCTGGTGAGGTGTAGGGCGGGCCCAGAAACACAGCTTGCACCATAAATACAAACACAAATAAGGGTTAATAGGACTTGTTGGGGACGAACTTCAAGTAGAGAAGTAGCAGTGTTCACCTGGTCCCTGAACTCTCATTATCTCATAGAAAAGTGTCTTAGACAGGACATAGCTAGACTGGACACATATGGGACACCCTATATATTTTTAGGGAAAGCAGGTTCTGATGTTTATAAGTTGCTATATAATAATAATAATAATAATAAATTTCAGGGATAGGTAACTGTTTTGTTAAAAAGGAGGAGTTCCAAACAGGAGGAATCAGCTTCTCGTTAAGTACCAATAGGAAAGAGGAAATGGGTCTCCAGAATTATCAGTTTGCCTCTTGTTGACTGGTGTGGTAGATTTAAGAGTAGCCTCATTATCTTTGACACCCCTACCCTTAAGTCTTGCTGTCTTGTTACTTCTTTGACCAAAAAGATATGGTGGAAGTGACATTATGCCAGTTTTGGCCTGGCTTTTAAGAATCTTGGCAACTTTGGTCTCTTGGAGCCCTGGTCCACCACCTAAGAAGTCTGACTATCTTTCTGGAGACACCATGTTAAAATGGCCCTATAGTGGAAGCAACAAAGATGTCCTTCAATAGGTGAATAGATAAACCGTGGTACACCCATACAAAGGACTATTATTCAGCAATAAAAGGAAGTGAGCTATTACGCCGTGAAGAGACATAGAGGAAGCTTAAGTGCATACTGTTAAGTAAAAGAAGCCAATCTGAAAAGGCTACATACTGTGTGATTCCAACTGTGTGACATTCTGGAAAAGGCAAAACATGGAGACAATAAAAAAATCAGTGGTTTCCAGGGGTTAAGAGGAGGAAGGCGGGTATTAACAGGTGGAGTACAGGGGCTTTTTAGGGCAGTGAAACTAATCTGTACAATACTGTAATGGTGGATATATGTCATTATGCATTTGTCAAAACCCATAGAATGCACAGCACAAAGAGTAAACCCTAATGCAAACTATAGACTTCAGTTAAGAATAACATATCAAGGTTGGCTCTTCATTTATAACAAATCTACCACACTAATGTGGGATGTTAATAATAGGGGGAATTGAGGAGATGAGGGATTATTTGGGAACTCTCAGTACTTTCTGCTCATTTTTTCTGTAAAGTTAAAACTGCTCAAAAATTAAAGTTTATTAAAAAAAAACCACAAAACCCTACCTGGAAAGGAAAAGAGATCCAGCTAAACCCAGCCTTCTGGTCACCCCTCGTCAGGCACCCACTTCGTGTGAGTGAAGCCATCTTGGACCCTCCAGCCCAGCGCTGGGTGAATACTGTCGTGTCCATGGTCAATATTACATGGAGAGGAAGAATTGGCCAGCCAAGCTCTGCCTGAATTCCTGACCTCCCAAACTGTGAGGTATAAAAATGCCTTGTTTTAAGCCACTAAACTTTGGAGTACTTTTTACACAACAATCGATGTGCAGAACAGATGCTTATAGAATTCTGGGTTAATATCGTTTTCCCTCAGAAGTTTGAAGGAATCGATCCATTGGATCCTGACCTACCTAAGTTGTTGTCTGAAGCCATTCTGTGCCTCAATCCTTTGAGAACCTGAGTAGCATCTGTTCCAAGTGTTCTGAAGTGTCATGATGACAGGCTTGGTGTGGTTCTATTTCCATTCAGTGTTAGACACACTTTCAACCTGGAAATTCATGTCACTCAGTTCTGAGAGGTGTTCTTGAATTATTCCATTGATGATTTCTTCCTTTCTTAGAACTCCTATTATTTGGATACTGGGTCACCTAGACTGGTCCTCTAATTTTCCTAGTTTTTCTATCTTAGTTTCCATCTCTTTGTCTTTTGCTCTATTTTCTGGATGATATCCTCAACATGATTTTTCAATACATCCATGAACTTCATCTTATGTCATTAGTATAATCTCCCAATGATCATTTTTGGTCTCTGAATATTTCTTTAATTTTAGTATAATGTTTTAATTTCATGAATGTAATATCTCCTCTTATTTTTTTGAAGATATCATTTTAATTATTTTTATAAGTAGGATATTAATTAAAGTTAAAAAAAATTTCCCCTTGGAGCACTGTCTCTGTTATCTTGAAGTTGTTTTTCTGTTTGTTTTTGTGCTGTTTTTCACATTCGAGGCTGGTCTCAGATATCTGATGATCTTGGGTTGTTGGCTTATGTGTAAAAGTGGAAACTAGCTGAAAACTCAAAAGCTGATTGGAAAGTGGGCCTGCTGGGTGTGGCTTGTTGTCTACGGCCCTTACTAGAGGGTGGACTG